ATCCTACTTCATCAACGCTTCCTCATTTTGATTCTACCATTTTCTTACCAGGACCATCACATCTAAATACTTTACTAACAAATACTATAGAAAATGAAATAGAAAATATAAATAATGAAACATCAGCTAATTTTCATCAATATCCATCACTTTCTTGCAGTGAAGACAATAATCAACTAAATATAAATCATTGTTCTAGTGAAAAAGATTCAGAAATTAAAACTGATAACGAAATTACTATTGTTATAAACCAACCAAATACTGATGTAAATACAAGACAATCCGAGCAAACTAATTCTACTTCGAGAGAGGGATCATCTGAAGCTTATACAAATTTAGCATTTGAAACTGATATTTAAATTAATTTTAGTGCCTTATATAAATCAATTATACATATATCAAAATAAAGTAACTCTTCAACAGCAAATTTATTTGTAAAACTATTTATTATGATTTATTTATTGTAAATTTTTATGCAACACTTAAAATAAAACACAATTTGTTATAGTTTAAAATGAAATAATCAGATATTTATGGGAAAAATCTGAGAATTAAGCTAACTAGCTGCATGTGCTTGGTATTGCTTAGGCTTTTTAAAGGGTAGGAGATTGGTGAGGTTGAGTTGAGAGAGGGTGATAAAAACAATGATCTTAGTAACTGAAATGTATATTTATTGACCTCAGTATTTACTAACCAAATATCTTACTCAGCTTCTTAAATAATAAATTGCCAAACACAGTATTTACAATAATGAAACTGCAAAACAAAAAAAAATTGCACCTAACGTTAACAGGATGGCACCCCAAGTGTCCCATAGACTTAACATTGTACCTTTGTCACTTTGCCACACCTGAACCATTGCACCTTACTCACATCTCTCTTCAGTGGCATCATCTACAGAATAAGAGCTTTAATTTGATACCCAAACTACATTTTTGGCCCCAGCAGTTTACTCATATTAAGCCAGACAAATTAAAACCATCTTTCAATTAATACAGTTTATAGATTATTATTAACTCTTAAAATTGTTTTCATTATATCTTTAAGATTAATTGTTATATAACTTCAAAAAGTATTTTAATTAAAAATAGTCCAAATACAATTTTTTTTATTTTGAATAAAATATGCAAAGCAATGTAAACATTTATAAATTTTAAAAAAATCAGTATTTTTATCAAAATTTACAACTAAAAATATGTTATTTGCTTAACTGATTTTTAATCCTATAAATTACAAATGCATTTTTTATCCAAAAAATATTTATCAAAGGAAATTAAAATATGATTATAAATTTAATCAAAAATGTTAGATTTACAATCAATGAATTATCTTTTAAATTACAAAATCTTCTGTAAGTCTTTCTATATTTTTTATTGTTAATTACTTTTTGAAAATAATCATTTAATAATTGATAATAAAAATTCAAGTCAGATAATTCTCTAATGGGAAAACAAATAATTTTATACTAAAATATTGTTTATGACAATTATCAAAGTTGATTAAATTAATCATAAAAGTTCTCTTAGTAATTATTTGGTTTGATAAAATAAGAATGCAATATGAGGGCAATCTGCCAAGTCTCCATGACAGCTTTTAATGGGAAACTGGCTCCTATTTAAGTGTTAAAAATGTGAAAAAAACTGAAACTCTACATGGCCAGTCTGTTGATCATGCATGAAATCAACTGTCAGTGTTCAGTAGTTTACATATCAAATTTTCTATTATGTTCCACATTATATAATAAAAACGAATATTTTCAACTATTTATCAGAAATAAACATAAAAATAATTATTATCCTATACATGTTCATCTATGTTACATAATTTAAAATCTTTCATATGAAGAAATATACTTTTCTTCATATAAAAAAAGTTAAAATTATGGGAACAGATTGATTCTTTTATATTAAATTCTAGTATAATTTGATATTAGTTTGGTTTTGTCTATTATGGAAGGATCTAATAAAAGACAATAGGGTCAACCAACATGGAAAGGAATGAAATAAAACACTGATATGAATTATCCATGTAAAATCATGAGGATTAGATTAGACAGTCCTCTTACAAATTATTAGAAAATACTAAAAACAAATTTCAAAAGATTTTCTATAAAGAAAAAATATATACATTTTTTAATTCAAATTTTTCATTTCTGATTGGTTACTAGATTTTAAGTTTATTTTACATACTTAAAATATAAATTGAATTTTGAAGGTTCTTATAAATATGTACTTAACCATCTTCAAAAAATTCACTCATTTGAAAAAAACATTTTAAGGAACCTTTATTCCATTACTACTGCAAGCATAAAAAATGTAAATATTTAGTTTTCATGCAAATGATCCCAATTTTAGTTATAAATTTACAGAAAAGATATGAAGGCAATTCTTGATATAAATGATTTTTAAAAATCTCTGTTATATATAAGCTCCTAATTAATCCATAAAATCTAAGAAAAAAAAAATTAAATTAATAAGTATTGTTTTAAAGTTTTGTAAAATTTTGAATAATTTTCTCTTATCTACATATCAACATTCTTACTAAAAATTATCTCTATTAATAATGCATTTTTAATCTGTAAATAATAAACAATCTATAAAAATATTTTTCTTGGTAATATGAATCATCTCTTCAGAGGAAATATAAACAATAAGAATTCACAATATAACATTCTCAAATAGACTTCTAAATGTTTACATTAGATAAACATCATTCTTTGAAATACAGTAGAGCATCGATTATCCGACTCAATTGGGGACTGGGGTTGGTCGGATAACTGAAAAAATGGATAACCGAAAAATATAAAAAAATACATTATTAGTATAGTATATTAGTATATTCCATGTAATTAGTATATTGTTAACCTACTTCGCGTTGAATTTTCATCGATGTTAAGCCTAACAAAAATTTTTTTAAAATAATAATCATCGCTATTGTATCGTTAAAAATTAGAAAATTAAGCCTCATTTAAATACTGGCTCCCTTTCATAATCGAGCCATGTTGCCAGCTAAAACACGTAAAAATACTATTAAAGTAGCCAAGACATAGCCAAATATTGTAGCGCCACATCACTAGCGGACATTTGAATTTGCCGACTAGAACAGTCGGTTAACCGATGTGACGGTTAATCAAAGGTTGGATAATCGATGCTCTACTGTACTACAATTATAAAATAATTATGGTTACACAGTATCCAGAAGAGGATATTTTTAAACTTTTTCTCTATAAAAAGAGGATATGTTTTCAATGTTTGGTAAGAAAGTAATAATAAATAATAGTAATTATTACAGAAGGTAATGTAAATCACTGGTTCTCCAAATTATTTAATCTGAAAATTGTCTCCACTTCAACTGAGTCACAGATAAAATGCAAACCACATATACTCCTCCCCTTCTTTATCCTGTAAATATTATCTTAGATGCATGCCAAAAATTTTTCTACCTGTAACCTTCTGTAAGAGATGTTTGATGCATAAAAATACTCTTTCCTCTGGCTAAACAACTTAAAATTGTACATAAAAAATGACTAGGTCAGTCTGCAAACTACCTGATACATGCTTGTGAATCACCAGTGATTCATAGACCATACTTTGAGAACTACTGACATCCATCTCTATGCAGAGGGAATGTAAACAAACTTAAAATAGAAAATCTTTCAAATCAAAAGTTAGTTTTATTAATATATATATTTTAAAATAAATTGATATTTAAGTTTGATATAATCATATTGTTTAGAATAATATATCTTTTAAAATTAAAGATATTAAAAAAATATTTCTTTGCTATGCTTATCATCAAACAATTTTAAGTAATTCATTAAATCTAATGTTTTATATTGCTTTGAAGATTGAAATAAAAAAATTTATTAAAATTTGCAGATAAAAACAAATATACAGGTCATCTATAGATAAAATATTTATTTAAAAGACTCACACTTAAATATAGCTACCATATATAATTTCAACATTTCAATATGAAGACTTTCTTAGAAGAAATATTCAAGGCAAGTTCTTATTCCAGACAAGAAACTCCATCAACTAATGGAAGTTGTATTCATGAAAGTTTTATATGCTAAAACATGCCTTTAGAAAAAATTTTTTACAATCAACATATATGTAATAATACTAATATACAATATTCAAGTATACATATTTATATAAATAAAGAAAAGGTATATATCAAATAAAATTATAAATCTGATGAATACTTGAACAATACAACATAAATTTTTATCAAGAAATATGCTGATAAATTTATAATTTTTTCAAAAATTTTTACATGATTAAAATGTAAATTTAAGTTGAAATCCTTTGTACCAGATGTGAACAAAATAAGAATTCATTGTATCTAGCTGCACATTATTATTAAAAGATTGGTTATTATAAATTAATTTTAAATTTTAATTTTATATTTAATTTTTAATTATAGCTTAATTTCATATAGTAAAGGCTATAGGGATTAGCACATCAGACATTTTCTTGTTAAATTTCCTTTAAAATTTTGTGTATTTTATTAAAAAGTATTTATTACAAATATTTTAATTTTATATTATTTGCAAATAGATGAATTTATAACTTTATCTTTAAACCTTTTAATCAAATTAACTATCTTACAAAAATTAAGTTTAAAATAATAGCTTCATGTTTTTCATATCAATTATATTCAAGCTTAATTAACATATTAAATAAAATACAAATAATGATATATGCAAAAAAAGTAAATTTAACAAGAAGAAGCTGATGTGAAATTTAACAAAACATGCTGTATGACTATTAATATCTAAAGATATTAGATGTTTTATCAGTATTATGAGATTAAATTATATGAGAATATAATAAAAATGTCCAACATCAAAATACATAAAAAAGTTAAAAACCATAATAAACTGAGTCATACAGACTTTTTTATAGAAAATAATGAATTAAGACAATTATTAATACTGCTTTTGCTATTAATTATTAATGTATAAAGCTATATAAAAATTATACTAAAAATTCTGCTTTCCTGTTGTAAATTATGCCATATACTGTCTTTCTTTTTTACTCATAATTTTTTCTAGTAATTTGTCCAATGTATTCCTTCAAGATAATTATAACAATATTTCAAATTTAAATATATCTTATATTATAATGAACAATTAGTTGGCAGTGCCATTAAAAATTCACAATAATTCACATTAGCATCCTTCATACAAAACAGACTGAATATAAAATTTGATAACAGTAAACTGTCAATGATTAACTTTGAATAACAAATGTTTTACATTATAAACATTCACACATTTACACTCAAGTCAATATATAACAATTCAAGTAGATGATGAAAATGATATAATTTGTAAAATTTTAGTAAATATTCATGAATATACAATACACTTTGTAAATACAAAAATGAAAAAAATCTGTTGTAAAAAAACATAGTTGGAAGAGCAATTTTAAAACATGTTTTAAAAATTCTATTTTTAAAACATAGATTGATTCAATATAAACAACAAAATAGCTACTTTCCAATTTGACACTAAACATGTATTTTAATTGGACATCTAACCAATACTGTATACAATAATATTCTCATACAGACAATAATGAAATATTTATAATATACAAGAAAATAAACAAAAATATATGGACAAAACGTTACACTTTGACTATGCAAGTGACTGAATTGTTGACTATCTTGTTATTTCCTTCTGTTCAATAATACTGTAATAATCAGGTGGAAGAGAACCAGGATTATTAGCTGTAAATAAAAAAAATATACATATTTGTTGTTGTTATTATTTCTTTATATTTTACATAAATAAATTAAATAAATGAAATCTGATAATAATAATTCATAACTCATTATTCATCAATGATTATCAGCTTCAATATTTTAAATACGTAAATTTTATATTAAAAGTGAAATTATAAGACTAGAATAATTTCTATTCTTCTGTATAACAAAAAATGATTTTCAAATGTAATTATCCAATAATTTCAATTTACTCACCAAGATGTTAAACATTTTTGAAATCTGTCATATCTTAAATCCTGTATGTTATTTCATTGTATTATAGATTTAAAAAGTAGCTTGACATTACATAATTTATGAAAAATAATTTTAAATATAGAATATACGGTGTTTTTTTTTTTATTAATTTGTCTTCAAATACTGATAAGATATCTGACTTTAGTGGATATTTTCACTTAGAGGACAAAATTTCCAGTTCTAGCATAGTAACAGTACTATTGACATACTTTTATCTACCTAACCTAACCTAACCTAGTGGATACTACTTTCTTCAAACAATGGACTAAAATTTCATACCATTCCTATTTTCTAAAATCTCTATTAAGAAGACAGTACAGCATATTAAATGTTTCCCGTGAATATAATTTACAAAACATCACCATTATGTTCAGTGCTATCATTTCATAGAATTTTTGTCTTAAACATGATAAACAAAGTTGCCATGGTTCTATTTTTAGATAATAGTCTGATATTCTTTGTATCAAATATAAGCAGATTGATACTGGCATTTCTTCCATGCATAATGGAAGGGAAGCATAAAGAAGCAAGAATTTTAAAGAATAAAAAAAAAACAGAAGCAAAATGAATCATATGTTTGAAAAATTGGCAAACACCCTGTTTGGAAAACCTAGATAGCGTTATCAGTAATGTCTGTTGCCTAGCTTATAATAGTTGCAATTTTGAGTCTCCTCCTTTTCTTCTAGATTTCTGTAAATTAATTATCATTAATTTCAGAAAGTATGGTGTTTTATGCTTCTAATGTTATGTTAATTAATTATCACATAAAAATAGCCCAATTATTTTAGAATTTCTTTGGCTATTTATAAAATTTCTCTTTATTGCATATTCTTTTACAAAGCAAAATTGTTTACCAATTATTTAAAACTTTGTCAGATATTGTAAAATATACATCAATTTTTTTAACAGATACTTGTCTTAAACAAACACCTGTCCTAAGTGTACAAATCTCCAGTATTTGATTTCAATTTATATTTCTACTATTTATACCAATTAAAGTAAAAAAGATAAAGATAAAAATAAAAATACTGGGATTCTTTTGTGTTTAATTTATTTCTTCATAATTTATATAATGTTAAACTGTTTTTTCAATCTTATTTAAAAATCTCATATTCTTTTATTTTAATTTATGTTAACAAAAAGTTGAGTGTTAATACAAATATATTTAAATTCAAAACATACTGAAACAAAAGTTAAATAAGATATTATTTTGTAGGATGTCTATTATTTAAACTTTTTAAAAATTAACACTAACATTTTACAAAGTGTAACCTCAATGAAAAAATAATTTTAGTTTATGTAAAACCCCAAAAAAATTTATTTTAAGAATATTTATCATAGGTTAAAGCTAGAAATAACAGAATGAATTTGAAAAACAGATACTTGTCTTAAACAGATCCCTATTTATGACAAGTATCTGTCAAGTATCAAAAAGCGAACAAGATGAAAGTATTACAAACCTATCCATGCTTTACAAAAATTATATGCATCACATATGTTGATATGATTAAAAATTAATTAAAAAGAAATACGATCTACAGTCTTAATTAGGATTTTAGAATAAATACAATTATCTATAGTTTTAGTTTCTTTTGTCTATTCATAGACATTATACCACTAAGCATCAAATTCTATAAACTTTTTCAAATAGCATTGCAAAGGAAATATGCATTGTTGCTCATGCTAAACCAAAATGAGAATTTTGATACTTCAAAATTTTAAAATAACTTCTAAAAATATTATGGCATATTGATTACTTTTTACTTTTATTATTATTATTATTATTATTATTTTTTTATTTAGTAGNTATTTATTGTAAATTTTTATGCAACACTTAAAATAAAACACAATTTGTTATAGTTTAAAATGAAATAATCAGATATTTATGGGAAAAATCTGAGAATTAAGCTAACTAGCTGCATGTGCTTGGTATTGCTTAGGCTTTTTAAAGGGTAGGAGATTGGTGAGGTTGAGTTGAGAGAGGGTGATAAAAACAATGATCTTAGTAACTGAAATGTATATTTATTGACCTCAGTATTTACTAACCAAATATCTTACTCAGCTTCTTAAATAATAAATTGCCAAACACAGTATTTACAATAATGAAACTGCAAAACAAAAAAAAATTGCACCTAACGTTAACAGGATGGCACCCCAAGTGTCCCATAGACTTAACATTGTACCTTTGTCACTTTGCCACACCTGAACCATTGCACCTTCCTCACATCTCTCTTCAGTGGCATCATCTACAGAATAAGAGCTTTAATTTGATACCCAAACTACATTTTTGGCCCCAGCAGTTTACTCATATTAAGCCAGACAAATTAAAACCATCTTTCAATTAATACAGTTTATAGATTATTATTAACTCTTAAAATTGTTTTCATTATATCTTTAAGATTAATTGTTATATAACTTCAAAAAGTATTTTAATTAAAAATAGTCCAAATACAATTTTTTTTATTTTGAATAAAATATGCAAAGCAATGTAAACATTTATAAATTTTAAAAAAAATCAGTATTTTTATCAAAATTTACAACTAAAAATATGTTATTTGCTTAACTGATTTTTAATCCTATAAATTACAAATGCATTTTTTATCCAAAAAATATTTATCAAAGGAAATTAAAATATGATTATAAATTTAATCAAAAATGTTAGATTTACAATCAATGAATTATCTTTTAAATTACAAAATCTTCTGTAAGTCTTTCTATATTTTTTATTGTTAATTACTTTTTGAAAATAATCATTTAATAATTGATAATAAAAATTCAAGTCAGATAATTCTCTAATGGGAAAACAAATAATTTTATACTAAAATATTGTTTATGACAATTATCAAAGTTGATTAAATTAATCATAAAAGTTCTCTTAGTAATTATTTGGTTTGATAAAATAAGAATGCAATATGAGGGCAATCTGCCAAGTCTCCATGACAGCTTTTAATGGGAAACTGGCTCCTATTTAAGTGTTAAAAATGTGAAAAAAACTGAAACTCTACATGGCCAGTCTGTTGATCATGCATGAAATCAACTGTCAGTGTTCAGTAGTTTACATATCAAATTTTCTATTATGTTCCACATTATATAATAAAAACGAATATTTTCAACTATTTATCAGAAATAAACATAAAAATAATTATTATCCTATACATGTTCATCTATGTTACATAATTTAAAATCTTTCATATGAAGAAATATACTTTTCTTCATATAAAAAAAGTTAAAATTATGGGAACAGATTGATTCTTTTATATTAAATTCTAGTATAATTTGATATTAGTTTGGTTTTGTCTATTATGGAAGGATCTAATAAAAGACAATAGGGTCAACCAACATGGAAAGGAATGAAATAAAACACTGATATGAATTATCCATGTAAAATCATGAGGATTAGATTAGATTTGAAATGGAAGCTTTCACAGTCCTCTTACAAATTATTAGAAAATACTAAAAACAAATTTCAAAAGATTTTCTATAAAGAAAAAATATATACATTTTTTAATTCAAATTTTTCATTTCTGATTGGTTACTAGATTTTAAGTTTATTTTACATACTTAAAATATAAATTGAATTTTGAAGGTTCTTATAAATATGTACTTAACCATCTTCAAAAAATTCACTCATTTGAAAAAAACATTTTAAGGAACCTTTATTCCATTACTACTGCAAGCATAAAAAATGTAAATATTTAGTTTTCATGCAAATGATCCCAATTTTAGTTATAAATTTACAGAAAAGATATGAAGGCAATTCTTGATATAAATGATTTTTAAAAATCTCTGTTATATATAAGCTCCTAATTAATCCATAAAATCTAAGAAAAAAAAAATTAAATTAATAAGTATTGTTTTAAAGTTTTGTAAAATTTTGAATAATTTTCTCTTATCTACATATCAACATTCTTACTAAAAATTATCTCTATTAATAATGCATTTTGAATCTGTAAATAATAAACAATCTATAAAAATATTTTTCTTGGTAATATGAATCATCTCTTCAGAGGAAATATAAACAATAAGAATTCACAATATAACATTCTCAAATAGACTTCTAAATGTTTACATTAGATAAACATCATTCTTTGAAATACAGTAGAGCATCGATTATCCGACTCAATTGGGGACTGGGGTTGGTCGGATAACTGAAAAAATGGATAACCGAAAAATATAAAAAAATACATTATTAGTATAGTATATTAGTATATTCCATGTAATTAGTATATTGTTAACCTACTTCGCGTTGAATTTTCATCGATGTTAAGCCTAACAAAAATTTTTTTAAAATAATAATCATCGCTATTGTATCGTTAAAAATTAGAAAATTAAGCCTCGTTTAAATACTGGCTCCCTTTCATGGTCGATCCAGTGTTGCCAGCTAAAACACGTAAAAATAATATTAAAGTAGCCAAGACATAGCCAAATATTGTAGCGCCACATCACTAGCGGACATTTGAA